CATGAGTTACTTTTGTGAATCTGTGCAGTACATATTTCTGTTTTGCATTAAGTTTAACATGCACGCATGTTCGTCTTATACGGCGGTAAATTAACGCATAATTTTACAACACAAGTTCCCTTCACATTGCCCCAAATCGTACGTGCTTTGCAAACATGATTTGTACAATGTTAATTTAGAAAATAGTGCAAATTAGGACAGGGTAGGAAAATAGTTAAAGTTTTCTCGGGTCTTTCTTTCAGATATTCGATTATAATGATTAATTGAAATGAGCAATGGAGTGTTCAGTGGCAAAATTAACGAGCACACATATATACACACACAAACACAGAACCATTGAAGAAATAACCACACGGAATTAGAGCGAATGGATGTTTATTAAGCACATCTGTTCGTAATATGTTTTTCTCTTTTACTCAGCACAGTACAACTCAACCTCCAAAGTCCTCTTGTTTGTGAGCCCTCTCATGTTCCGGTAGTGTATAGTGTACCTCACATGCATGCATATCTTTGGGGAGAATTTGTTGTATTTTTGCTTTACTGTTACTATATGTGGTGTTACTGTTTGGCTTTACTGTAACAGTAAAGGGACACTAAAGTCAACTATTAGGTCGACGTTGATTGTTGAAATGGCGGTGCAGAAACCTCGTAGTGTCGTTTTGTGCCAAGGAAGGGCTGATTTTAAAATAAAATTACATTTTAGGGCTCTGCATCGGGCTGGCGCCCGATGCAGAGCCCTAAATTACCCGTCTCAAGAAGCGGACTGATCGGACCGTCTCACGTCACTATTGCCATGCACAACGTTGCCAGGCTTTACTGTGCTAGTAGCAGCAGACCGAAAGCAGCGAGAGCCACAGCAGAAACAAGAATCATTGATCAATTTCTCGCCATTGGCTTCGAGATTGCAGGTGCTTTTGTTTCAACTGCGCCCCGCTAGATGGCACCTTATAACCACATAAAAATTGAATTTTTGAACCACTCGTGCAATTACCCATAGTAACGTCCGGCGGTTCTTTTTTCCATGACTCAAACAGAAAGAAAAAAGCAGCATCTTATTGCATCTCTTAGTGCCCGGAACGTTCTTTATTTAGTGCGGTTACTTTGATTATGATTACTTGTACGGGTTCCGTCTAATGTCATCTGGATCAACGAAGTGAAAAAACAGCGCGTAACACAGGACACAGGACAGAGAAGAGACGGACAGCGCCTCGTCCGTCTCTTCTCTGTCCTGTGTCCTGTGTTACGCGCTGTTTTTTCACTTCGTTGACCATGTACCAACCGGCCCAAATAAGCACTTTAGTACAGGTCATCTGGATCATTTTGAAAATGTCCTACTGCGGCGCTTGTGTTCTTGTGTATTTACCTTAATTTCTCGGTAAGTAGGGCACAGTTGTTGATAATATTGTCGTTTTGGATATTGTCGAACATTGAGCTTTCACTCGGACGCAAATCTCTGTGTGACTTTAGTGTCCCTTTAAAAGCTACTTGCACCAACGGCAACGCATCTGTGCATTCCTCATCAAAAACGCCTTTGAACTGATTGTCATGCGATGCTTGCAAAGCACTGTGCCTTTAAATGTTAAATTTAAGAACATTAGCTTTGCTTTATTTATTCTTCTAGGTTTAAACATTCATTCGTAACTACTGCTTTGCAGAAGCACTTTCAATGTGCATCAATTAGTGCAGTTTGATTTAAATGAACATGCCATATCAATGTCACAAAATACTTAGGGTATGTCCCAAAGAGTAACCTGACATTTGATTAAAGCTGTTGGATTTTTTAGCATGCACCTAGGTAAAGATAAAGAGCTGTTCTAGCAATTTGCGCCCTCTAAATAAATTGTAAGAAACTGGTAATTTAGCCTATATCTTTATGCTTAGTAGTGTAACGCCTTAACCCGCATGTCAACTCGTCAAATTTTTATTGTTCACCTGTGGCAGTTATGATACACCTTTCGCCAAAAAGTATGCATGCCCTTTCATATTGTAAGCTTCTTTAGTAGTAAATGCAGTGATTGTACAGCATGCTTGTGCATGTATGCCTGCTTCTGAGGTCTACTATAGCTTTCAGATGAGAGATCAGCACTGCTCCGCACAACTGCACCTTTATTCTAGTCTAAAAAAAGCTTTGTGCTTATTGCCTCGCATGATAAGTCAACCATTTGCAATGTCAGTTGCTGTACTGGTGTGCTTGCACTAACAGACCTGACACATCAGTGAAATGTTTGTGTTGTTTGCAAGTTGCCCAAGAGCACAATAAATGTTTTTTCTTCGAACTGCACCGGTGACTCTTGAATAACATTTGGAAAAATATTTATAACAATAAGTAATGACCACTGTAATCTTTATTTCAATAAGACTGAGCTGAGACTGTTTGCATATATTCATCCCAAAACACTGGGGGTACAAACAAAAAAAGTGGTGTTTTAACTTTCCTCTTGCGTTAATGTCTACAAACCCAAATTAAATAAAAATCGTGTTACTTGTATGTACTAGGACAAACTTGTTATCATTATAGGTAAACCCACGACGGCAAGGGAATTTGCACGAACCGGTACGCTGAGTAGGTCTATGTTTCCCAACAATGGTGCCCATTGTATTTTAACATTATTGTATTCAGCTTGCCATACAAATGTGCTGCCCTGAATGCTAAGCTTAAAAAAGCACGCTTACATTTTTTTATTGTTTATCACAGCCACTTTGTTGACATACCATCATAGTGGTAGTTATTTTGGTGGTTCATCGTATGCCAAACTACACACATTGCATTTTATTTTTCCGGTTAGTGACAGTTGCATAGAACAACACCACACGTATTTACACACACGTGGTGACCCAACCATCTTTGGCTGATGCGGGGAAAAATATCACATTTATTTATAACCAACTTTTACTCCTTAAGAAGCATTGCTTACGTGGGTCATGAAGAACCCAAGGGGCAAGTTGACCCATAGTTTATTCACAGTGGTTAGCATCTGCAGCATGCAACCAGCACATTAAAATCGTGCTGCTTTTAGGCAGGATAATGTGTCCAAAAAAGAGTTCCAGCGAAACAACAATATAAGAAAACAAGTAAAATGCAGTGCTCAGTAGAGCAACTTACATGGAATCAATGTTGCATGTGCGTAGATTATTACAGCAATACATGTCATGACTATGTGAAAAAAATTAACAAAATGTCATCTTATTTTGCACTACTGAACCAAGCTGCTGTAAGTAGTTCAAATCTGTCGCAAAAAAAAATCTTGAAACCTGAATAATATTCAGCATCATGAGTGGTCCGTAGTACACTGCCTAACCTATTGAAATTAACAAAGCCATGGCATTGCTGCAGGTCGCATTCGAATCAACGTAAGCCAGGTTGAATATTGCACTGTAAAGTGCGTTCAGCAATCATGCAGGCAGCCTTCAGGGCACCTGCAGCAAACATACAATGCAATATACTCTACAGTGTCAGTGCACTTATGCAGTAAACAATAATGCTTCATACTCAAAGGGTGTGGCTGGAAGCCATACTATTGAAAGGTAACAGTTACTAAAAGCATGCCTTCTCATCCATAAACATACACTTTCTCGAAGACGTAAACACATGTTTTTAGACCCTACGCCCATAACACAGTCACGTAATCACCTGCTTCAGAGTGTCGTTATAAAATAGTTGAAAATTGACCAGAAACTCCTAAGAAGTCTTATTACAATAACTGAGGCAAACCATACTCCTATCAAGAGTGAGCCGAAGAAGCGATGAGTGTACACAGAACGGGACATTAAATTCTACGCAGCGATGTCATATGATTGCAATCGGTGTTCTAGTATTGTGGTCGTTGAATGCAGTTCCTTGGAGCCCAGGAAATCTGTCATTGTCGGAAAAAAGTTTAATGTTTTAGTCATACTATGTCTCATAATTGGACCCCTTTCAACTTCTTGATATTTAGCTACAATTTCGCATTGTGGTGCAGCTGTTTCTGTATCGCTTTTTCTATAAAATGGCTTTGAAATACTTGTTGAATTTTCCTACATCATACAGATGTGGGCCCGATCCCATTTGAAGAGGAAACATAGCTAGAAAAAGCTTGAAAGAGGGCAGTTTTATTTACAAGCTGCTCAGGCGAGGGGTGCCTAATCACTTCCACGAGTCCACAGGGATCCCCAAATTATGCAAGTAACGCAAATAGTTTCTTCTGTCCTGAAAATATTCATGGCTGATAAACTCTGCTCTAGTAGAATACATTTGAAGCTAGAACTGCTCCCCACAAAACACGTCCTCTTCAAAGCGTACCAATCACAGGAATTAAAGTAATGATAAGTTAACGCATACTCCAATAGCTCACATAGAAAGAGTTAATAAGATGTTCACTAAAGGCAGCAAAATTAACACAGAGCATACAATCATAATGGCACACTCTGGGCCAGATGGTCCCGCAGCCTTGCTGCCAACGTAGGTTTGTGGTCAACATCAACTGGCTCACTGGAGAATATGCCAAGGTCGCTGTTTGCAATGTCACTAGTTTTAAAAACATCGGCATGTGTGCGGGCAAGGTTGTGCAGCACAAAGGCTGCCATCACAATTTCCACAGCCTGCGGAATGCTGTTAACATCAATCTCGTCCAATCGCTGAAAACGTCTCTTCAGCAGGCCAAACGCTATTCCGTTAACAACGCGTTTCTTGGAGTGCACATGGTTAAACTTGCTCATCCATGGCTGACAGCTGCTTGAGACGTGGCGGTAAGGTGGCAGCAGTCACGGGAGCAGAGGGTACGCAGCGTCCCCCAAAAGATATCCACTTGCAAATGTACATTGATGTCACTTCGGAATGTCAATTACAATGAGTTATTACAAACATATAAAGTGTGTACTCTTAACATTATTCTCTTGCTTACACTCCAGAACAGGGGTTGTTATCTACCCTAGCGCAACAAGAATCAATCAAGGCCACTGTCAGCCAAACAAACCTGTAAAGATTACGATCTTATTCGATTGAATATTACTTATTCGCTCACTGTCGAATCTCGACGCTGCCTTTTCGAATAGAAAGCTCTCCTCCAACACCATGGCGTCGTGTGCTTTGCCTGGGAAGCCAACGAATACGTCAGTGAACACCATGTCGGCATCACAAACAGCCTGGAGAATGATGCAGTGGAACCTCTTCCTGTTGTAGTAGTCCTCCTCGCACTCTGTGGGTCTTGTGATGCAAACATGGCATCCATCAATGGCATCGATGTTGTCTGGCAGACCAGCCTCGACGCCGTCACAATGACCAAGTGCGCGAAACGCACGCTTATTTCGTGCAGCCTCCTTGTCGTTAGGCCAGCGTGTTTTTCTTTCGCTTATGGACAGCAGAAAGTCCAATACGCAGCGTATCGTGACGTGCACCGTCGACTCGCTGACACCAAACTTGTCGGCCATGGCATTCATGGACCACTGCGTGCCCAGGTACGTCAGGGTGATCAGCATAGTCTTCAATGCTGTTATTTTCTGTCTTTTGCGCCCACCACGAGGATAGTATGACGAAGACTCAAAGTTGGCCGTGATCACCTCAGTGGTGCACCTCTGTAAACGGAACAGCCTTCGGAACTTTTCGTCACTGTAGCTGTCCACCACGCTTTATACATACAGCCGCACCCGGTGTCGGTCTTCCCTGATAATTTGTGTGACAAGCACGGCAGCAATGGCGAGATCTCAAGTCTCCTCCAGTTCTTCCTCCGACTGCAGATCATCGTCATCTCCGACTGCAGATCATCATCGCCGTCATCGTCATCTGAAACCAGCACGTCTGCGACAAGCTTAGCGAGCGCGGCAAAATTTGCTTTCGCGGCTGCCATTTTCGCAGCAATCGGCGGCGCCGCTGGCGATAAGGTGAGCGCCTGGTCACCGGAAGCCCTGACCTCGCGGCCCGGGACCACTCGCATCACGTGACAAATGACGCCGATCACATCTCTCAGCGAGGCGTCCACGCGCCGGCTCGGGACTGGCTCGGCACTTGGTAAATCGATGAAGCTCAGTGTTACTCCAAGGAATTGGCGCGAAATGCAGCATTTCGCACACCACGCCGGTTGGTGTCGCGCCGCGCCGACGCACGCTGGTCGCGCCTGGCGTGAGACTATGCTCACGTTTTGCTAATGTAGCGTCACTGTGCCCAGAGTGCGCGCGCGTGAACGCTACATTGGAGTATATTGGGCCAGACTACTGGGCCTGACGTACTCCCAAGACGTACTCCCCAGACTACTAGGCCTGACATACTCAGCAGCTCCATCGCCGACACGTTAACCATTCCGCAACGTGCTCAGCTTCTACGACTGCTGGAGAAGTTCCGTTCTTCCTTTGACTGTCAGCTTACTCCCCTCGGCCGCACGTCCACTGTGTGTCACCGCATTAATATGGGTACCAATGCGCCATTGCCTTCAAATAGCCCTTGGGCATCTCCGGTCGTTCTCGATAAGAAGAAGGACGAGTCAATTCACTTCTGTGTTGACTACCGTCGTCTTAACAAAATAACTCGAAAAGACGTTGATCCCTTACCGAGAATCGACGATGCCCTTGACAGCCTCCAAGGTGCGGAGTACTTCTGTTCTATTGACCTACGGAGTGGCTACTGGCAAGTCCCTCTGGCACCTGAAGATCAGCCTAAGACGGCTTTTGTCACACCAGATGGCCTTTACAAATTCTGTGTCATGCCGTTTGGTATTTGCAACGCGCCCCAACATTTGAGCGGATGATGGATAATCTTTTGCGTGGCCTGAAGTGGAAAACATGCTTGTGCTACTTGGATGACGTAGTTATATATTCACCAGATTTTCCAACGCATCTCCGCAGGCTAGATGAAGTACTGCAGTGCCTAACTGACGCCAGCCTTCAGCTCAGCCTGAAGAAATGCCGCTTCGGCGCAAATCAGCTCACCATCCTCGGACATGTTTTCTCTAAAGACGGTATACTTCCTGACACCACCAAGCATCGGGCAGTTGCAGAGTTTCCTAAACCTGCGTCTCTGAAGGATCTGCGTAGCTTTATTGGCCTCTGCTCCTATTTCCGCACCTTTCTTTGGAATTTTGCGATGATCAGCGCCACCTTGACTTAACTTCTGCGCAGTGACTCGAAAAGTTACGCTTGGTCACCCGCCTGTGACGATGCTTTCGAAAAGTTGCGCCGCCTGTTAACCTCGCCGCCAATCATGCGTCACTTTGACCCGACTGCTCCGACTAATGTACACACCGATGCCAGCGGTGTTGGACTCGGCGAAGTGCTCGCGCAGCGCAAATCGGGATTCGAGGAGTACGTACTCGGGTACGCAAGCCGTACCCTCACCAAAGCGGAAAAGAACTACTCTGTGACAGAGAAGGAGTGTCTGGCAATTATATTGGCTGTAGGTAAATTTATACCATACCTATATGGTCACCCCTTCGACGTGGTCACCGATCACCATGCACTTTGCTGGTTATCCACATTGAAAGACCCCTCCGGCCGTTTAGCTCTCTGGGCTTTGAGGTTGCAAGAGTTCGACATGCGTGTTGTCTACAGGTCTGGTGGACGTCACACTGATGCCGACGCCCTATCACGTTCACCTGTGTCCTCTGAAAGCTCTGCATGTCTATCTGCCGTGGACGAAATGGTTGCGTTCCCAGAAAACAGCGAACGGCGTCTGAGCAACGTAAGGATGACTGGATCAGCACTCTTCTGCGATTCCTTTCGGACCCGTCGACTTCTCCATCTTCTCGAACGTTGCGCCGTCAAATGGCTCACTTTGAGGTCCACGATGGCCTCCTTTATTGTAGGAACTACAAGACCGACGGCCGAAAGTGGTTACTCGTCATTCCACGCCTTCTTCGTGTTGCAATATGTTGCGCTTTCCACGCTGACCCTCAGTGCGCACATGCGGGCATCTTCATAACATATGCTCACATTTCCTCTCGGTTTTATTGGCGAGGCATGTACACCTTTTTGCGCAAGTACATTCAGTCATGCCCACAGTGCCAACGACGGAAAGCTCTGTCTCATCATACCTCTGGTCCGATCCAGCCAATCCCTTGCCCAGCCAGGCCTTTTGACCGCATTGGGATCGATCTGTACGGGCCTCTTCCATTCACGGCTTCCGGAAACCGTTGGATTGTTGTCGCTGTCGACTATGTGACGCGATACGCAGAAACAGCCGCTTTGCCTGCTGCCACAGCTCACGACGTATCCTCTTTCTCCTGCGGAACTTCATTCTCCGTCACGGCGCACCGCGTGAACTTCTCCGCGATAGAGGACTTGTATTCCTCTCTGAAGTCGTCAACGCACTCCTTGCCGAATGCCATATCATTCACTAGACTACCACCGCCTACCATCCACAGACAAACGGCTTGACGGAAAGATTCAACCGTACCCTAGGGGACATGATATCAAAGTATGTTGCCTCAGACCACTCCAATTGGGACCTCATTCTCCCTTTTGTGACGTACGCATATAACACTGCTCCGCAGGCAACTACGGGCTTTTCACCATTTTTCCTGTTATATGGCCGAAACCCTTCCACCACTCTAGATACCATTCTACCCTACTACCCAGATTCCTCCGAGTCTACGCCTATCTTTGAAGCTGCCCACCGTGCCGAGGAATGCCGTAAGCTCGCCCAGTCATTTACAACTGTCGATCAATGGAGACAAAATTCTGGACGTGATAATAACCAGCCGTACCCTAACTTTGTTCCGGACACTCTTGTGTGGCTTTGGGTTCCCGCTGTGCCTACAGGCCTTTCCTTGAAGCTTGTTTCAAAATACCAGGGACCCTAACGCATTGTCTCGCAGACTTCACCTGTTAACTACACCGTCGAACCCGTTACGCCATCCACAGACCAGCGCTTTCTGGGTCGTGAAACTGTTAACGTACAGCGGTTGAAACCTCATTACGATCCGCTTGTACTCTGTTCACCGTGAGTCGCCAGGATGGCTCCTTTTCCGACGGGGGACGAAGTGTAGTGAAGAGGATTGCCCAATACTAAAGCGACATCGACACGTTGGCGCGAGGAACGAGCTAAGACTGCCTGGTTGTTGCTGTGACGCTGCCAGTACACCCGGCCAGCTCTTGCTGCTTTTGTACAGACGCTGATACTGCATTTCACCTTGCATTTACATTATAGGCCCTTCATGATGCGCTAGCGGCCGTTTTGCAAGCTCCACAAGTACCAAATTTGGAGTTACATGATGTCAATGGATGACGAAATATATGACTGGTGCAAACATGATAATCCTGACACGCGTGAAATGTAAGAGCATGACAACATACCACGCTCATAGCATTCTAACGGTCGTTTCACTGGCTTCACTTATACTAAACTTGGCATCACATGACGTGAATAGATGGCGAAGGCAAACAACACATCCAAGCATGATGATCATGAAATGTAAGTCATGTACGGCATCATTTACCTCCACCACGTAGCATTGGGCTGATTTAAAAGTGGCTTATTAAGATTTCTTATTTCTGCTTCGCATATCATCGATTCCCACTGTACGAGGGATCTGCCAATTTTTCGTATAAATCTCCGGAAACGAGTTCGCGGTATGTCACCATTTCTACTCTGCTTCAGCTGAGTTCTGCTTTCAAGTTTCGCATGACATATTCTAAAGCGTCAATAATGGTATTGAAAAAAATCACCATGAGGTAATTTCACTCGATAATGTGTATTGTTTATGTAAGTGGTGATGCATATTGTCGCGGTTCACCGTGAACAGACCAATGAGACGTTAAGTTTAAGAACTGAGGATGTGTTTTGTGCAGCAGCCAAGAGCAACGACATCAACACAAACACGTCGTCCTCAGTCAGTGTCCCTTATCCCGAGACTGTTGAAGCGCACTTGGCGTTCCTTTTTATTTGTCCTCCTAGTTTGAGTGCGGAGTTTGCCTTGCTTTATTGAGCATCGCCCCGATTCTATAGCCGAGCCAGTCATTCACTCATAAAGTCTTTTTGTATATAGGGGACGGTCCTTCGCAGAGTCACTCGCTGACGTATGGTGAAATGCGCACTACGTGCACAAGTTCACGTCGGTGCTGGCGAAGATTTATACAGGATGGGCTATCCAGGACGACAACGTAGGTAACGTCGATTAGTCGTCGCAGCACTAGATAAGGTCAGAAGTATCGCCTAAGCAACTTTTCTGGTAGTGCCTGTCTTCGTACATGCGTCTACACCCATACCTTGCCTTCGTTTTTGTACGTTACAGCTGTATTACGTAGATTATAGCGACATGCGTCGTACTCTTGCTGTTTGTATATTCGCAGACGTGCGAGCTGGCTGGCTTCCTCTGCACGTTGAGTTAACGCGTTGGCACTCGTTTCCTTGTCGTCTCATTCGTGTGGCCGCATCGTGGCCAACATCGTCCTTACTTCTCGTCCGTGAAGAAGGCTGAATGGGGTCATCCGTGTGGTTTCTTGTTTAGCAGTATTATATGTAAACGTTATGTAAGGTAGAATCTCACCCCAATGTTTAATGCGAAGCATTTTCCATCAAACTTTGGTGACTTTGAGCGTATCTATCTATCTATCTATCTATCTATCTATCTATCTATCTATCTATCTATCTATCTATCTATCTATCTATTTATCTATCTATCTATCTATGTAGCTATCTTTCCGTCTACGTAGCGGCCTATGTCTTTCAGCTCTCCTGGCCGTTTCGATTATGTTATCAATACCAAACTTGGTTAGGCATAACACTAATGTATGAATTACATATTCGACTAGTCATAACATAAAAATTATGAGTATGTCATTACTGTCATGATTCACATTTCATGGTCCTGCAGCTCTTGTGGTGGTTTCGTTCACATGGTCTGTTGCAAACTGGTATGACATGACATGATTGCATGGCGAACACAAGCGACAGACCTTAACGTAAAAATATTAACGTGTATCATGCAACAACGTGACTACATGCCACGCTCATGATGCGCTCGCGGCTGTTACGCTAGCGTCACATATATCAAATTTGGTATTGCATGACGTCATTGCATGACGAAGGTATGTGGCTGGTGCAAACATAATAATCATGATATGCGTGTCATGTTAGAACAATAATACATGCCCAGTCAAGGCGCCAATACATTTCGACGTGACGCGGTGTGCGTGCTTGCCGGCGTTCATTTCTTCGCGTCACGCCGGCGTTCCATGCCAAGTGTCAGTCCTGCCATATACTCGCAGGCGCGCGCCGGGCCGCGTTGCTTTTATACATGCATGTTTAAGCGCGTCCAGCATCCCTCTGTCATGAAAACAGGGAGACGCAGTGTTCTCTGGGTAACGCATCGGCATGAATTTCGTGCCGGTTGCCGTCAGGCCGCGCTGACGGACGCTGGTCGCGGAGGTCGTGCCTGGCGTTAGATTATAAAGTGCTGTCGTTTTGCTAACGCATTTAGCCGGCGTGCGCGCGAGTCAATGCAACATTAGTGTATATTAAGCCGTTCATGATGCGCTCGCGGCCATTTCGCTGGCTCTACATATACCAAATTGGGTGTTACGTGACGAAAATGGATGACGAAATATATGACTGGTGCAAACTTGATAATCTTGACATGCATGTCATGTAAGAACATGACAACATACCACGCTAATAGCGTGCGCGTGGACATTTCACTAGCTCCACGTATGCTAAATTTGGTATCACGTGACGTAAATAGATGACGACGGTAAACAATACCTCCAATAATGATAATCATGGCACTTAAGTCATGTACGGCATCATTTACCTCCACCTCGTAACGTTGTGCTGATTTTAAAGTGACATATCAACTTTTCTTATTCGTGCTTCGCATATCATTGGTTCCCACTGTGTAAGGGATCTGGCATTTTTTGTACTCGATGTCCACATACATTGAAATTATGTCTTCCAGAGTTTTGTTGAGACAGTCGGTCAAGCCGTTGGTTTGTGGATGGTAGACTGTC